GGATGGCAGAAAAATCCTTCTACTGAACCCTCCACGAGGGTGCCGTCTGGTAATGGGTCACACAGTTTTTTTTTCGTCCTGTACGTTGTCAGGACGGTGCCCAGCTAAGATCAGGAGGAATTGAGTGATTGTCCTTAGCTCTTTAATAGCTGCACACCACTCAATGCTTTCTGATCATGGTTTGAAGGTCCCCTTAACTCGGGAGTGTTACGCGATCCGTGCTCACCGAGTAGGTTTGCAGTCAAGGGGTCTGTCCGACTGTATTTTTGCGGAGCCTCTCCAATATATGACCGCCTTGGGGAGTAACTGTGGTCTAGCCATGGTATGGGACGCTGCTGTGGTGGTCGCTTCTTTCGTCCAAATATCCTCGGGTCCGCCGCGCCTGTCTTACCGGGTAAGGTGGACGATTATGAATATGTTATGATTTCTCCCGACAATGTCTCGGAACTCGTGGCTGGAGAGTATAAACCCACCAAACTTACGGAGGACGAATTGTTGAAATCGGACGACGAGATCGTTGCCGATTCCAATACCGGTTGTACCAGTCACAGTACACCGGCGTCTAATCCAATCCAACCAACAACCAAAAAAATCGACGGCACTCCGTCTACCAGTCAAAGTAGACCGAGTGCAAACCGCACGCCAACGCTTAAAACTGCCAGTCTAAGCAGTAAGGGCAATACAAAATCTCGGAAAAAAACGGCCAACATGGCACGCAAAAATCGTTACCAGCGAGCGCTTTTTATGCTAAAGAAAATTGAGGGCAATAAAAAAGAAGGCAAGGTCCATGAACGAGACGAAGCCGACGCTGTTAAATACCGCGCCATTGTGGAGGAGTATCTTCATGATGAAGGTCTGCGCCAGTCTGTTATCACCGGCAAGAACGTCGGAGATGGCGGCAAGCGTAACAGATCTCAGGAAGACCCCAGCAAGGAGGCGAAGCGGCACAAAGTTGGAACGGGGGATGGAAAGCTAATGTCAAGACCGGCACAAGCTTCTCGTCCCTTCAGTGAAGTAGCGAGAGACCATCTCAGTGTGGCCTTGATCGACGAACACAACTCTAACGGCAAGCTGCTGATGGAGAGGTGGGCGCTGATTGAGACCAAACTGTCCGAATTGGTTATGGCTGAGCTCATGACTAATCCGGGGTCCGTTCCTTCTTTTGACTGCGCAGATATCGTCCGTGGTCACCGAGTGATCAGATGCGACGACGAGTATTCGCGGAGTTTTCTCAGCAAGGCGATCACTAAGATTAGTGAGAACTGGGACGGTTTAAAGCTCAAACTTGTCCCTGCGGCGGAAATTCCATCGAGGCCTCGAGCGCGCGTATGGTTACCCAAAAACCTTGGTCCTCCTGACCTTATTCTGCAGCAGCTAAAGCTACAAAATCCAGAAATCCTGATGGAAGACTGGTCGGTTCTCAAGACCGAAGAACCGCAAAAACACAGCCAATCGTACTTACTTCTTATCAACGAAGAATGCTTGCCAGTCATTGAGGCTAATGACTGCAAGCTGCGTTACGGCATCCGGAAGGCAAAAATTAAAATCTTTAAAAACGCGCCACCGGATAATATTCTGGATGAGGTTGAGGGCACTAGTAAGCTGCTAGATGACCTCATCATCGATAGCAAACCTTGTTGATGTATTAATGGCCAAGGTCGTGCAGATAAACCTGAAACACTCTAAATGTGCCACGGATAATCTGGCTGTCTTACTCAGGGAGGAGGACATCGACCTTGCCATCATCCAAGAGCCCTGGGTTCATAGCTCATGTGTCAAAGGGCTCAACATCAATGGGTATAATCTTTTTTATGACAAAGGACAGGGTAAGCCTAGATCGTGCATTTTAGCAAAAACGCACCTTAATGCTTTTCTCTGCTCTCACTTAAGTTCTTTAGATATAACCACCATCCGGATAGAGCGGAAGCTAAAACCTGCGATTTTGGTAACATCCGCCTACATGCCACACGACGATGAGGCACCTCCAGAGGGGGTACTATTAGTCCAAAATTTCGCGCAGACCGAGAAGCTAGCCTTGCTGATGGGTTGTGATGCCAATGCCCGGCACTCCTTGTGGGGAAGCTCGGAAATTAACGATAGAGGTGAGTCTCTTTTTGATTTCATATTAAAATGTAATCTAGAAGTATGTAATAAGGGTAACACTCCCACCTTCATTTTTCCGAGTACGGATGATCGTGTAGGCTGGGAAGAGGTTTTAGATATTACCCTTTGTTCGACTTCGTGCTCTTTAACGATCAATGATTGGAGAGTTTCAACCAGGAACTCCTTCTCTGATCATAGATATATCATGTTTGTGATGGATATTCCCATGGTAGCTAAGCAATCTCACCGTAATCCCAGGAAGACAAACTGGGATACTTTCAGGTCATTGCTCAATAGAAAAATCAACATAGCCCCCGCTCCAATTAACTCGATTAGGGAATTGGAGTGCAGGGTCAATTCTTTGACAAATAATATTATTTCTTCCTTTGAAGCATCATGTCCTCGCTCGTATGCGAAGAAGTGTAGGCCACCATGGTGGAACGAGAAGCTCTCTTTGCTCCGCAGGAATGCGAGAAGAGCCTTCAACGAAAGCTATCGGACCAAGGTTTGGACTCCATATAAAGATGCTCTTAGGGTTTACAAAAAAGCACTTCGGGAATCCAAGAAATTGTCATGGAATTCTCATTGCCAGCAAATTGAAAGCATTAAAGAATCGGCTAGACTAGCCAAATTGCTAGCAAATGGCCAATCTTGTCCTTCGCTCATTAACAAAGTAGACGGAAATCCAGTTAAATCCCTAACGGAATCCCTCTCACTATTAGTGGATACCCATTTTCCTGGTTCCTCGGGTGATCCCCCAAAGGTATTGCCGTATCGTTCAGCCAATTCTGGCGAGACTATACAGTCAGTGGTATCATCTAGAAGGATCAAATGGGCCATCGATTCATTCTCTCCATATAAAAGTCCGGGTCCTGACGGGATCTTACCAATTATGTTACAATCTCTGGGAGATGTAGCTGTAAATTGGCTGTACGCGATTTTCTGTAGCTGCTTTTCACTTAATCATGTCCCCAGCGGCTGGAGACAAGTTAGAGTAGTTTTTATTCCAAAAGCAGGTAGAACAGGCCATAGTACGGCTAAAGATTACAGACCCATCAGCCTTACTTCATTCTTACTTAAAACTATGGAAAGACTGATCGATGCTCACATCAGATCTTTACACAGTTTCGCTAAAATATCAAGGGCTCAACATGCATATCTCAAAGGTAAGTCCACAGAAACGGCACTACATGAGGTCGTCACTGTGGTGGAGAAATCTCTTGGATGTAAACAATTTACCTTAGCCGCCTTCCTGGATATAGAAGGAGCTTTTAATAACGTCAGTGTGGTAGCCATTCAGGATGCTCTCAGCGAAATGAACATCCCGGCCTGTATCTCCCGATGGATCGCTTCTATGCTTGGGTTTAGAATCATCAATGCAGAGATGGGCAATCTTAGCATTAGGAAGTGCGTCAGTAGGGGTACACCACAAGGGGGAGTGTTATCTCCCTTACTATGGATTTTAACAATGAACTCACTGCTTTTAAGGCTTAACCAGGGTGGAGTCAAAGCAGTAGCGTATGCGGATGATGTTGTCCTTCTGGTAACAGGCATGTTCCCTTCGGTGCTGAGTAGTATCATGGAGGGCGCTTTTATGAACCTTAGTAAATGGGCCTCAAAGTGTGACGTAGGTGTTAATCCTTCTAAGACAGAACTGTTACTGTTTACCAAAAAATATAAAATTCCTAACTTTCCGCTGCCAAGATTAAATGGCCAAAGATTAACTCTTTCGCACAAAGTTAAGTATCTAGGAGTAATTCTTGACACAAAACTTAACTGGAAAGCCAACATCGACGAAAGAAAGCTTGTGTGGCTTTCTATGCGTGCAAAAGGATGTACGGCAAGAGCTGGGGATTGCAGCCCAAAGTGATTCTCTGGCTTTACACAGCCGTCGTTCGGCCAATATTAACATATGGATGTCTGGTGTGGTGGCCTTCATTGAACAAACAGTGCATTGTTCAAAGACTAACCAGAATGCAAAGATCTGCCTGTATGGGAGCCACTGGGGCTCTAAGATCTTGCCCCACCAGTGCGCTCAATGTAATACTTAACTTGCTACCTATTGATATTTACATCAAGCAAGCTGCTACTCTCAGCGCGCAGAGGCTTAATGATCTAAACTGTTGGCGCTCGAGTGCTTTAGGACATGGTAATATCGCATCACTCTATCCGATAGATGATGTCAGGGTTTCAGACTACCTATGTCCTCGGTTACTATTCGATAATAACTTCGCCACCATAATTCCTTCAAGAGGAGATTGGGAGGCGGGTTTGCCTACAACTCTAGGAAAGATAGCGATCTACACCGACGGGTCTAAAATGGATGAGGGCGTTGGAGCCGGAATCTTTTCTACGGACCTAATGATTAGTAAATCATACCACCTCTCAGATTCCATCTCAATATTTCAGGCTGAAGTTTTTGCTATCCTTAGGGCATGTGTTCTTGCTTTAAATATGCGCCTTCACGGAAAAGAGGTCTGTATTCTAACTGACAGTCAGGCAGCTATTAAAGCTTTATCAGCAGTCTGTCTGTCATCAAGATTAGTAGAAGAATGTAAGGAAATTATTTCTGAACTAAGTGAGAGGTCCAAGGTTACTCTAGTGTGGGTTCCCGGGCATTCTAATATTGTGGGAAATGGGCGCGCCGACGAGCTTGCTAGGCTAGGCGCCTCTTCCACGGGTACCCCTATTTCGATCCCTGCCCCTGTCAGCTACGGGCGTAGGCTAATTTGTGACCATTTTTTGCGAAAGGCAAATAGTGAGTGGACCCTTACTCTGTCAGCAGCCAGGTCAAGGGCTACTTGGCCCATTTATTCCAAATATAGAACCTCTGACTTAATCTGTAGAAATAAATCTGAGGTTTCTAAGCTAGTATCTATCTTTACGGGTCACTGGTCAATAGGACGGCATGGAGCCAGACTTGGCCTTTCCTGTGGTACCTCATGTAGTGCGTGTCTACCAACACTTGAAGAAATGACACCAGAACACCTGATGTGTTTTTGTCCGGGTCTGGCCAGAACTAGGTTTAAGTTTCTAGGGACCCCTTTCTTCAACTCACTTAGCGATATCTCCAGCATCAGCATTGGCCAGATTCTTGCCTTTGTTAATGCCTCTGGTTGGTTCTAGTTTGACTCTCTATCTACTACCCACTTTTACGAGGTTTTTGTGGACTCAAAACGGCTTTCATCCTTAGCTATTTGAGGAGGATTCGTCCTCCCTCCACCACAACTAACTAACTAACTATAATAAATACAATTAATACAATAAAGGTATATGACATTTTGCGTGTGGGAAATTATTCTCTTTAACCTTTTTCATACATTTGTATAATTACAAATTTATTTGCGTGATACAAAAGTTGC